GGGGGGCCGGGGACCCCGCCTCCGTCACCGCGGGCCTGGGGCTGCAGCCCGCCGCGCCCTCCCCGCCCATGGCCCGGAGGGTAGGTGTGGGGGACCCCTCCGCACCCCTCTGCCCCTCCCCCCCCCGGCTGTCCAGCCCTCGGTCTCCCTGACGCTCTCTGCCCCTTAGCACCAGCTCCTCGCGTGTCCCCTCTTTCTGTCCCTAGTCCTCTCCATCTCAGCCCTTTATCCCGGCACCCTCCATCTAGCCGTCCCCTCCTCGCCTGCCTCGGATCTACTTTTGTTTGCGACCTGGCCACCTCGAGTTAGGGGAGGGGACGGTGTGGGAGAGGTGAGTCTCACCAGGCCGCTTCTGGGCAAGTGATACTCGTTGGCTTTGGGTCCTGGGCAACAGCAGGTGAGAGAGGAGGGCGGGTGGGGACAAGGTCTTGGGAGGAGGTGAGGACCCCGTGTCGTGGGAGTGTGCTGAGCATCGCGGGAGCAGCCGGAGTCAACTTCGGAGCTCTGGAGAAGTTGGGAGAGGAGCAGAAGGCGGGGAGAGGAAGGAGACAGGAGCGGAACCCGTGGAGGGCCAGGTCTGCCCGGGTCAGAGGAGGCTCCGCAGGCAGGACACTAGCCTTTGCTCGTCCTTTTTCCTCTTGGAGACCCGTGTCTTCATCGCCAAGGTCAGGGTTTGACCAGGTGATGGAAGGGACCCTGTGCCCTCCGGGTGAGTGGTGCTGGGATCACAGGACTGGAAATGTAACCCTGAGGCTCTTGTCTCTCCTCTCCGGGCAGTTTGCACCAGTGTGTCTGCCCTGCCCTTCCACACTTGACGTTTGATAATGTGTGCCAGGCACAGTGCAACTGTCCTGCCCTGGTCGCTCTCAGTCATCCCTCTGCATCTCTGTGGGCTGTGTATGGGAAGTTGCTGGTGACTCCAGGGGTGTGGCACTCAGCCTCCCTGTCCTGATGTGCACCCGTGTGTGTGTGTGTGTGTGTGTGTGCGCGCGCGCGTGTGTGCGCACGTGACACACCAGCATGTGCACGTGATCCCATGTGTGGTGGAATCCCGTGGTGAATGAGTGTGACCTGTGTGAAGACACACTCAGGCGTGCATATCTGACATCTGTGAAATGAGATGCGAAGTGCGAGGGAAGGCACTTGTACCAACAGTGCTTCGTCCCACAGGATGTGTCCCAGTGACCCCATCTCTGCATCTCTGAATCTCTGTACCTTTCCCTCCCCTGGCAGCTACCAGTCAGTGAGACCTCGAGACCTCACTAGGTCTCTTTATCCTGGTTCTCCTGCCACAGTTGGGAATACCAAGAGAACATTTTTTTTTTCCAAACCCCAGAGCACAAGGAAAGACCCTGGGTTGGCACTTTGCCTACCCCTCCCCTTGCTCCTTGGGATACTGGGGTTAAGGGCTAGGGGATAGGTAATAGGTGACAGAGGGCACATTCCCTGGCTCTGGCTGTGTGGCTGAGTCTCGGGATGCTGACTCACTGGGCTCCCTCTTACCTCCCCCAGTACGATGAGCTGCCCCACTACCCAGGCCTCGTGGAAGGCTCAGCAGCCCTGGCTGGCTTCTCGGAGGCAGCGCCCCCCGCACCTGGAGGCCCTGGGCCCTACGGACCGCACCGGCCACCCCCACCCCCTGGCCTGGATAGTGATGATCTGAAGAGGGAAAAGGATGAGATCTATGGGTGAGTGTGGCCCACGAAGGTTCTTGCGCCTTCCTGAGTCCAGGTGGCCTGTTGCTCTCTGGGTCTGTCCCTCTCTGTGTGTGGTCTTTCTGTCTCCCCGTCCAGGTGTTTTCTCCAGGTCTCATTTCTTCCCAGTCCCCTCTTACCTTCTTCATTTTTTATTTCTTTCTTTCTGCTTGTCTTTTTTTTTTTAATTTTATTTATTTATGTGTGTGTGTGTGTGTGTGTGTGTGTGTGTGTGGCCAGCTCAGCCCACCAGGGGGCGGGGCTGGCTGGCATGTGGTGCTGGGGGATTGAACTGCGGTCCCTGTGCTTTGTTAAGTTTGTTCTAAGTAGGTGCTTTAGACCACTGAGCCATCTCACCAGCCCTCTTTCTGCTTGTCTTAATATTATTTTTGTAAGAAAAAAAGTTTACTGTATATGTAGTGCGATTCTGGCTGGCCTACGTACGTACGTAGGGGATGACAGTTACGTGCCTCCACACCTGATCGCACCTCCCTCCTGAGCCCTCTGCTCTCCCTCCTCCCCAGACACCCGCTCTTCCCACTGCTGGCCCTGGTCTTTGAGAAATGTGAGCTGGCCACGTGCTCACCCCGAGATGGGGTGGGAGCTGGGCTGGGCACACCCCCTGGGGGTGATGTCTGCTCCTCGGATTCCTTCAGTGAGGACATTGCTGCCTTTGCCAAGCAGGTGAGCAGGGCCATCCAACCCCAAGGCACCAGGAGAGCCACGGCGGCAGGCAGGACCCAGGCGGCAACCTCTCTGGTCTCTCTCTTTCCCCTAGGTTCGCTCTGAGAAGCCCCTCTTCTCTTCCAACCCAGAGCTGGACAACCTGGTGAGCCCTGGGCCCTCCTCCAGGGCCTACTCCATATCCCTGGGGGTGCTGGGAGGGCAGAGAGAAAACCTGATCCTTGCCTCACACTACAGCCTTGTTGCCCATTTACAAATAACAGAGTCTAGAATTTGAGAACAGGACTCGTTGGCCCGAGTTCAAATCCTACCTCTGCTACTCACTAGCTCCATGAGGCCTCAGTCCTCCTCTGTGAAGGGGGACAGAGGGTGAGATGGAGTGGAAGGGGAGGAGGGAGGAATACTGGGGCTGCCACCCCATTGGCCCCAATCTCCCTACAGGGCTTCCTTTTGACCTAAACCTTTGGCAAAGGACTCTAAGAAATGCAGTTTATAGGGACAGGGGCAGGAGTCAGGGGTACACTATGCCTGCATACTGTGTCCCAGCCCACTCCTGGGCCGGACGTTTTCTCTCTCTGCCTCTGCCTCAGCCTCGGCCTCGGCCTCTCACCCTTCCTCTGGGCTTGTGCTCCATCTCCCTCCCCTCCCATTATGTCCCTCTGGCTCTGTCCTATCTCTGTTACGCTGAGCTGCCCTCCCGGCCCTTGCAGATGATCCAGGCCATCCAGGTGCTGCGCTTCCACCTGCTGGAGTTGGAGAAGGTGAGTGCTTCTCCTGCTCAACCCCAGTGCCCAGCTCCCTTTGCCCCCTGCCACCCCCATCCCCAGCAGCCCAACCCTGGCCCCTGGGTGGCCCCCCCAGTACCCCGGTGCCCCCCCAGGTCCACGACCTGTGCGACAACTTCTGTCACCGCTACATCACCTGCCTCAAGGGAAAGATGCCCATCGACCTGGTCATCGAGGATCGGGACGCTGGCTGCAGGGAGGACCTTGAGGACTACCCGGCCTCCTGCCCCAGCCTCCCAGACCAGGTGGGTCTAGGACAGAGCATCATGCATCGCCAGAGCCAGCACAGGGGTGCACAGCACATCACCGTACCCCAGATGCACCCCGGCCATAGGGCATGCACCAGCAACGCAAAGGCTGTCCAAGTACACACACACACAGGCACACACCAGCAGCTTCAGGCACCACCCACACAGTTCACACGCAGCTACCCAAATCCAGCTATGCGACAGACAGTAGCACCTAGGGTGCCTTGAAACACCAGGGCCCTGGACAGCAGGGCAGATCCAGTCGCTGATTCAGCTCCGGCAACATTACATCCTCCTGCCACCAGATTCAAACACAGCCACCCTCGGACCCCAGGGAGTATGGTGCCCCTCCCCCACTCATGTGCTTGCACGCGCAGGGTCAGGTCTTGTGTGAGTCCCAGGCAGTCTCATGGAGGACTTACACACAGGACAGCTGTGAGGGTCCAAACTCACATGGAAATAGAAAAATGACACCAAAGGCTGGGCATGGTGTACACCTGTAATCACAGCACTTGAGAGGGAGGCTGAGGCAGGAGGATCACTGAGAATTCAAAGCCACCCAATGGGGTACATAGGGAGGAGACCCTATCTCAAAAAAAGAAGGGATACCTGGGGAAAAAGCCCTGAGGGCCACACTAGGTGTTCAGAGTGTCACCATAGACAGCTGCAAGGCCGCACAGCGTGAAGTCAGATGCAGGACCAGAGCACAGCTGAGGAAGGGGCAAGGCACGCAGTCAGAGGGGCCTCGTGCTGGCCAGAACCTTGCATGTGGACAACTGGGGACAAGTCCCTGGCAGGCTCCTATTTGGACCTCATGGCCTTGGGCACACTTATGTGACAGTCCCTGGTGGCCACCCCCACTCTGTGTCCTGGTCAAGTCATAAACCCCCTTGTGTGGGAGTCAGAGTAGCCACACGCACAGCCCCACAACCAAGGCGCCACCTTCAAACCCCTCACATGGCACCCCTGGGTCAGGGACAGCTCACACACACACTGCACCAAGCCTCAGCCAGTGCCACATGGTGCTGCACCACAGCCACACGCTGTCTGGGGACACCATGCCACACCCACCAACCATCACATTCAGGGATGTCACGCTCAGTTACGTGCCCCAGGAAAGCCCAGGGCAGCTTCAGGCTCATCCCCTCAGTGCCACCCCTCACCCACAGCAGCCAGTCGGGATCCAGACTGTGAAACTGTCAGGTGACAGCCACAGCCACACTCAGGCCTGCCCTCAAGCTCACTATTTGGATCAGGCTAGCCTTGAATTTGTGGTGATTCTCCTGCCTCAGCCTCCTGAGGGCTGGGATTACAGGTGTGCGCCACCACATCCAGCTCCCATCTTTATTTTATTTTATTGTACCTGGGATAGAACCCAGGGCTTGGGGCTGGTGAGATGGCTCAGTGGTCTAAAGCACCTACTTAGAATAAGCTTAGCAAAGCACAGGGACCGCGGTTCAATCCCCCAGCACCACATGCCAGCCAGCCCCGCCCCCTGGTGGGCTGAGCTGGCCACACACACACA